TTTCATAGGTGTACAAACTTATTCTTGTTGTTATATAAAGGCATTCATTTCTGATTTTTCTCTTCATCACTCAATATTCTTTCAAGTTCTATAGTCTTTACACATTGAATTATTTTATTTAAGAGAAAATGAGGCATCAAATTTTCTTGTTATTTGCTTGCACCATAATAGCTATTTTTGCTTCTTGTTCTTCATACGTTTCAGCTGAAGTTGTTGAGCATTCTTTTCATGTACGTACTATATTACTAATATCTTCTTTTAAAAACCTTTTTTTATATAGAAATGCATATAACGATTATTTAGATTTTTCATAAGACTATTTCTTTTCATCTTTATTTTTTAGTCCGTCTGAAAATAGCAATGTCTTTTCTCATTTAGGAGTATGGAATATCACTTTCATTTGTTTCTTTCAAAAATCATTTCTTTTTTGGAAAACATGTAATTTATAAAAATTGAATTTTTTTATGATGAAAACGCTGATTTTCAAATAAAGTCAAAATTATTCCATAAAAAAAATAAAAACTTATGACTAAACGGGTATAATATTCTCATTATTCCGTATGATATATGATAGATATAAACATGCATGTATCTGATTGACCATGTTTTCGTTACACCTCATCTAATAAGTTTTTTATTTAAGAAAAATGAAAAAAAATTATGAAATTGCATTTGGTAGAATTACTTCTATTTTAATTTAGGATTTAACTAATTATATACACTTGCACTAAATAAAAATTGTCTACATTATAATTAGTGTATTTTAATCATGGTATATATGACAGGTTTCCTGCCTTATTTTTGTAGTTATTACTTTTATATCTAATTAATGGTAGAAGCTAAAGTACACTTTAATTAACTAATGTATTTTTTTTAAAAAATATATAGGTGCAAAACCGTACTATAACGAGATTGTGCCGTAGACAAGTAATTACCGCTGTAAATGGAAGTCTTCCTGGTCCGGCCATACGTGTAAATGAAGGGGACACCCTTGTTGTTCATGTCTACAACCTTTCACCTTACAATCTCACTATTCATTGGTAAGTTTTTAATTTCAAATGCTCAACTAAGATTTAAAGTTTATGATTTTAACTTTTGAATTTGTCACCAAACTCTTTTTTTCTTATCCATCGATCAGAGAATAGTATTTTCATTCACTCTCCAATAAGACTCGAACATTCAAACTTATAGTTGATGGTGGAGAATGAGCTCAACCACTAGAGCTAGCTCGCCTCGCAATTAAATATTATCTCCTTTTTAATTTGATTGTTCTATTTTAACTTGATACAGAATTTAAAAATAAATACTTACAACTTTTGATTTTTTTAGTCTTAAATCAAAGAAATTATATAACGTGTCAACATACTACATTTTATATGGAAAATCAAAACTAAAGAGTTGCTAAAAAAAGAAAGAGAACATTCTTTTTTTTAAAAAAAAAAAGAGACTGAAAAGAAAAGCAGAACAAACAAATTGAAACCGATAAAATACTTATTATTATAATATTTAATAAATTACCTAATATAAATAAAATAAGATAATCAAAATGTGTCAACTATCATTATCAGATTAGATAATATCATATTACGTAATAATGGAATGACGTGTAAAATAAAAACTAATGCAAGTTTTATTAATTAATTTTTATGCAGGCATGGAGTTTTCCAGCTATTAAGTGGGTGGGCTGATGGGCCGGAGTTTGCGACCCAGTGCCCGATCCGACCCGGACATAGCTACACATACAAGTTTAAAATAACAGGACAAGAAGGGACTCTATGGTGGCATGCACATGTATCATGGCTTAGAGCCACGGTTCATGGTGCACTCATCATTCGACCAAAAAAAGGACACTCTTATCCTTTTCCTAAACCTTATAGAGAAGTTCCCATCCTCTTAGGTAACTTTAATTAATCCTTTCATCAATTATGATTTTACTTTTTGACGTTACTGAATCACTTTTGTTAGAGAGTGTTTTATCTTTAACATGAAAATTACGGTGAAAATTTGAATTTAGTTGAGCTTCAATATGAATATCAAAAATTGTGTGAGAAACACAAAAACAAAACTAGTATGTGAGTCCAATATGAGCTTAAACAAGCGATATAAGTTATTGATGATTTTATATATGGCGATTCAATTCATTTGGCATTAAGATACATGATAGAGTCACCTTAGGTGGTTTAACACACATCTTTTATCGAAAAATTATGTGGTGTAGAAAGGTTAAATGTTAATCATTATAAGTGTGTATTTAATTTTGTACACCCTTGACACAATCGATCGAGAAGAACTTGTCATCCTAGCCTTGACACCTCTTCAATTCTCTAGAAAATATGGTGAATCACCTTCGTTTCTTCGTATACTTATTTTCTTATATTTTGACTCTTCTTAATAAAAATTCTGATTATCAGGTTACTAATACAAGAATGGGACATATGGAGTGAAATGTAACCTATTGATAAAACTACAAAATGAAGAATAATGTTCTATTTTTCTAAATTAAGAAAAGGAAAATATTGAAATTGTTTTGAACATGTTAATGCAGGAGAATGGTGGAATGCCAATGTTGTGGATGTGGAGAATGCAGCGCTAGCAACTGGCTCAGCACCTAACAACTCTGATGCTTACACTATTAACGGCTGGCCGGGCGATCTTTACCCTTGCTCCGTTAATCGTAAGAACTATACATATACACTTGATATATTTAACGAGTTTATAGCCTTGATCGACGGGCCGTGATAATTATCTTGCTAACTTTTGAATTTTTGTTTTCATTTCTATTAGAAACATACAAGTTGAAGGTGAAACATGGAAAAACATATCTCCTTCGTATCATCAACGCTGCGCTCAATAACCAACTCTTTTTCAAAATCGCCAATCATAAAATGAAAGTTGTCGCGGTTGATGCTGCTTATACTGATCCCTACGTCACGGACGTAGTTGTCACCGGGCCGGGCCAGACGACTGACGTCCTCTTGACGGCCGATCAGCTACCGGCGTCGTACTACATGGCGGCTAACCCCTATGCTAGTGCAGCCGGGGTGCCATTTGACAACACCACAACTAGAGGAATTATAGTGTATGAAGAAGCATTACTAGCATCAACTCCCATAATGCCAATTTTACCTGCCTTTAATGACACACCAACAGCCCATAAGTTTTTCACCAACATAACTGGGCTTGTAACTAGCCCATTTTGGAACCCACCATCTCGAAAAGTCGACGAGCACATGTTTATTACTATTGGGCTGGGCCTAACTGCTTGTGGAAAATCAAGAAATGCAACATGTGGAGGCCCAAATGGACAACGATTTTCTGCTAGTATGAACAATGCATCTTTCCAGTTTCCAGACAAGATTTCAATGTTGGAGGCATTTTTCTACAATGTTGGTGGAGTTTACACTACTGATTTCCCAGACAAACCACCATTGAAGTTTGACTATACAAACCCAAATAATAGCATGAATCCTGCTATTATAATGACGAAAAAATCGACAAAAGTGAAGAAAATTAAGTTCAATTCCACAGTTGAAATTGTGTTCCAAAATACTGCTTTGATTGGGATAGAAAATCATCCTATTCACTTGCATGGATTCAATTTCCATGTATTGGCACAAGGCTTTGGCAATTACAATCCTGCAGTCGATAGGAAAAAATTCAACCTTGTCAATCCACAGGAACGTAACACAATTGGCGTTCCAGTTGGAGGATGGGCTGTTATTAGATTCCGAGCTAACAATCCAGGTAAATAAATATATAGCACGTCCATTTGAAATATAATTTCTTTTTATAATCATATCTTGTACGTTCTACCAGCACATGTCAAGTGGAATTAGACGAGACGTAGGTCTCAGTCAATCTTTTCATTTACCACTAAGTCATACTTTTTGAAACAAACTTGGCATGGTTGATATATTTATTCTAACTATAAATGTGGAAATTACAGGTGTATGGTTGATGCATTGTCATTTGGATGTTCACTTGCCTTGGGGTTTAGCAACAGCTTTTGTTGTTGAAAATGGGCCAACATTATCAACTACGCTACCTCCTCCTCCACCAGATCTACCTAAATGCTAGATTATTAAGTTCCTTCTTTAATTTTTTTTTGGAGTGATTATATGATTCTTGTTCAGTTTTGTTTTTAATTTTTTCAATTGTACAAGTGAGTCATTTGTTTTTCTGGTCATTCTTTTGACTTGTTAAACAAACATGGGTGTATTTAGTTATATCATTCTTTAAGATTCTGTTAAGTGTAATGTCTCATCATTGTGTTCTTTTATTATGATAAATAAGACCGTCTTTGGGATTCCCATTAAACAGTAAGTAGTATTTTACTTTTAACTCTTTACATATACCATCACCACCAAAATAAGATTGTCTTTATGTTCTTTATATATACTTTCATCACCAAATCAGCCACAAATGGCACTTCCATAGGTTATTCCTTGTACAAGAGAAGTGTGATGAGGGTAATATGTACAGAAACCAACTGAACTACTAAGATTGGAAAGAGAAATACAATGCGGGTAATCAACCACCCACCGAGTAGATGAATATTCACGTATCAATCAACTGAACTACTAAAATACCACGGTACTTAATGATATGAATGGTTAGTTACCTGAAAGAAAAGATAAAACCTCATCATGTGAGCTTTTGGGAGCCAACTACTATCCCAATTAACATTTAAGATTTCAAACCCTGATTGGTAATTAAGAAATAAGAAAACACAGTCCGATGACAAGGTATTATAAACAATAATATGGTTATTAACATTTGATAAACTACACGGCTTTTCTGTACTAGCAGTAATTTCGACAGAACCAAAAAAAAAAATTAGCCATTGGACCTCGTTTTGTCAGCAAGTTAGGGGATTATCCTCCACTGTGGGAAGTAGATGCAACCTTCGGTAATGTTTCTGATGCAGTAACAAGATTTTCTGGCGATTTAGACCTTATTAGTGGTCGTCGTAAAAACCTTAGTGGCCATCTTTTAGGTTTTATTTGTCCCAACAATTTCATCTGTTCTCTTCTAAAATTTCTGTTTGCGTACCATTTTCCACCTCGAAAACCCAAGCCATACCTGAATCAAAGGCACAAAAAGCAGATCAAAGGGCATGCCGCATGTGTACCAAATCAGGTTTTGAGCTCTTGATATTTTCTATGACAGTTGATGAGGACACCTTTCTAGCTTTTTTTTTCGACAAAAGTTTCTAAATGTCTAAAATTATATAGAAAGAAGAGCTGCATAACAAAATAAAACAATAATGGTGAGAGGGGATGTAAAAACGAGTCTGTGTTTGTTTAGACTATTTTTGACCATTAAAAATAAATTTGAAAATTTCCCATTGATATAAGAAGCAACGAGAACTTCTTATCAACGAAAAAACTAAAATGATAGAAGGACAATAGGGCAATGAATAGAACAAGAAAAAGGGTATCTTAACAAGCTGGGTGAAGGGGAAAAAAAGAAAAAATAGAACAAGAACAAGGTAACTGCTAAGAAGAAAAAATGACAAACCCGAGAATTAGTGTGGTTCCAGCAGTTGCAGCACAAGCGGGAATACTAATGGATCCAGACACAAGCTTCTTAAATTCAGGATCTTCAATCTGATAATCTTTCTTCATCTGCCAGATAAAAAGGTCATCTTAAGAGCTAATAAAACTTAGAAGTATTGCTTGTGGCACATAAGAAAACCAATGTGGTCCATGGAAACTGCTAGAATAAGACTGATCATGTGAGAGCAGTGTTATCAAAGGCGAAAAGCGCAAAAAAGCTTGAAGGTTCATGGGAGCTTTAAGTGCAAATAAAATATGGGCTTTAGTGAAAAAGGTGCAAAGGGAGAACAAATATAGGACCAAAAAAAGTGAATTTTTTGCTGATAAAGTGAAATATCACTGTTTAGTGCCACTTCATCAGAAGAGACTCATTGGCAAGGAAAAGTTTGCCTTAGAGCCTTTATGAAAACATTGATGTGCACATAAAGCGAGGCAAAGCACTCAACACATTTTGAGCCTCGCTTCAGGGGCTTAAGCGCGCCTTTGACTACACTGTGTGAGAGTACCCAAATGATTTTACTCCCAGCTGAAGCTTCAGTAACCTGTCCCACAAACCCCTTTAAGTGCCACCCAACCCAGCATCCCCAAAGACCCTTTTGTTAGCACTTCTTTTCCTTTTTCCATGTTCATAAAGCTTAGTTCCATGAGATATTAAGATCTTGAGATATTAAGATCTTGGTACTCCATTGCCACAGAGAGCCAACCTTTAGAGACCGCAAAATGAAACTTCCGAAACTAACCTATTCTGGTAAAAAAAAAAACCATGCAATAAGGAATCAGTGGTTGTTTTGGAGCTGAACAACATGTTGACAAGGATACTCAGGGAAATAACCTATATATTGATGTTCGACTACTCACTCTAACGTTTTATTTTGGGATAACAAAGAAACCCTTGCTTAGTTGGTTAGCTGACCAATATCAAAGTTAGAGCACAGGTCAAACCAGTAGGAGTGTGGGCCTGCCCCTCTACCCTCGTCCCACTTATGCACCAGATTTTAGTAGAGTCACATTTGTGGACATCTGCCTATGCCACATTCATTTTGTACTTCTTTTTCCAGGAAACAAAGCAATGTGGCAAATTATTTATGATAATTCATTCAGGGTTTTATTTTTTATTTTTTCTTACATGAGTACAATCAATTTGTAGCAGTTGAAAGCAAACATGAGGGGATGGTGGTGGATATTGGAGAACAAGTGGTTTGGCCAATAGAGGTAGGAGAACAAACTAGATACAGGTGAATGGAGAAGTACCAGTTGTGGGGTGACAACAAACATGATCACAACGGAGTCAAGAAACAAAGGAAGTGATCGGCGGAAAAAAATTGAGAGTCTTGAAGTAAAATCTTTGATATTTGTAATCATCAGATTACTTTGGCCAGGCCAGCCCCCACTTTATCCTTCTGCATGCCCAACCATTGGCGTTCCTATAAGAAGCATTGAGTGACTTGCGGCTTTCTAGGAGGCGGGTTGCCTAAGGCTGCTAGGAAGGTGAGTATACAATGTATAGAAAATTGAGTGTTTGTCATAGCATCCTTCTGTAAAATTTTCTACTTTTTGGTACACTCCTTGTATGCATGTATCTTTGACCTTCATTCATAAAATATTATTGCTTTATCAGTTGTGGAGGCTTTTCATTAGTCTCATGGGTTTTGCTTGGGCTATGCCTAACAAAATCACACATCTTTTGTACAGCTGGGGAGAAGTGGGTGGGAGCTGCAGATATAGATAGATGGAGGATTGCCCCAGCCTGTATATGGTAGACTGTTCGAAAAGAAAGAAATGCTAGATATTATGAGAGCAAGAGTTATGATCTTCAAAAGATCAAAACAAAATTGTATCAGACTTTTTTGCTTCTGGTGCAAACAGATGTATTTAGAGAACACTGAATCCATTATAGATATCCTAGGTTCCTGCTAGAATTTAGATTTGTTTTTCTTACATTTTTGACGAGTAAACATGGTTTTCAGTGCAACCCATGTACTGGTTCAGTGAAAATTCACAAATGATACCTTCTCAACAAAAAAAGAAGAAGAAGAAGGTAACACAAGCTGGCGAACATGTAAAACTTAGTTAACTCCACATTCCATACTCCATGCCATGCTTAACAATAAATCTTAAACAATTCGGTCCATATCCATAGTATGTAGAGAAGGTCAAGTTCCATGTGTACTCTAATTACAAATTACCCAAAGAAGACAACTTTGCCACATCTTCTCATTGCCTTGGGGATAAAAAAAGAACTACTCAAAGGTTTTATGCGACACTCGATCACAAATAATTTTAGGTTGTAATAAATTTATTTTTAAACTTCATGTACTTAATTGCACTTATTTGTATAAAAAATAATTACACTATTTTGTAAGGGCATATTGTTGAAGAATTAATACCAACAAGCCTACACCCCTTCTATATTGCACTCCAACAAATTCTCTTGTGTAGTACACACCTTATTCTTTTGAACAGAAATAGTAAAATATTTGTGGGACAACATTATTCTGCAATGAGTACTTACAGCTTTCTCTATAGATTCAAGCCGTTGATCAACTCTTGATTCATGAAGATGTCTTAAAGTATAACCTGCAATTGTTTGACAGCTTAAATATGGCATAAACAAAGTATCTAGGGAAAGAAGAGTAGCTAATATAAACATAAAACGAACAAGAGATCAATATATGCACTTCTAGCACGTATTTAGCAGATAATTCTAAGGAACCAAGTCAACCAATATAAGCCAAATCCACATTTGTGCACCAAACAAGACAATTCACAATGTAGCCAAGGGTTCAAATACAGACAGGCCACGCATCATATAAGAAGACAAAGGAGATACTCTAACGAAAAAACACACTTGGCGCTGTCAATCAAATGTTGTGCTGTGAATATACAAGAGAAGCATCAAGCCATCAAAGAAATGTGAAGCCAGGCACAATGAAGTTGGAGATGTGACTTTTACATATTTTAAAGATAGGTCGTATGAACATCCTTGACAAACAACCTTAAAAATCTCATTCACTCAACTGTCAGCTGATCAATTATGCAAAATAACAGTCTCACTGATGGGCAAGATATCTAAAATTATAGGTCATATTCAATGGATCAGAACTTCTTGCATATTGGAGACACTCTAATATGCTTGCGGTCAACTGATTTTTAAAAACCAAACAGTGTTTATAGAGGTAATAGACATCTTATTTGTCGGGAATGGAGAAATCCTACGAGTTAATTGACAGATGAGCACGTTGGAGAGCAGATCAAAGTTTAAGTTGCAAGCATAATGGTAGCAGCACTATATTGAATGGCAAGAATTTACTGTTTAAAATGCTTAAGTTATGAATTCTACTATATTTTATAATTTCTTAATTAAAAAATGTGTAATCATTTCTTCACTTCATGTCAACTTTTACTTTATTTTTGCCTTTTCCATCCCTTTAATGTATGGTGTACCAGCATCGCAACAGCTCCTTGGTTGTCCTTGGCATAATCTAGTCAACTCCCAAAATGTCTAGTATCAGATCCCAGATTTGCTTGATGAAAGAGTAATAGAAGAAGAGGTGATTGATATCCTCATTTTGCCTTCACTAAAGGCGAGTGATATCCTCTTTTTGGCTTCCATTTTTAGTGAATGTCTGCTTCATTTATTGACGATTGACCCCTCTTTCTAGTGATTTTCATGAGTTAAGCATGCTCCCTAGTCTACTACCAGGTGAAATACTCCAGCCTCAAAGTGCCTTTTACCTCCAAATACACTCCCAAGGCCAATGACAAAGGTAGCAGAAAGGTCACTTGGTTGGTTGTACCATGCTTTTACTGTAAATTTTCCTTTTGCATCACCTTTCCAAATCAGAAAATCAGGTTCGGAAATTCAGGATTGTTGTTGTGAAGCTGGAGCAGTAACAAGGACACAGTGTCCACTTCCCAGTCATTTAAGCTACACCAGAAGTTGATATTCCTGCATTGACCAACCAAAATCCTGCCAAAACTTGTTCGTCCTCCCATTTCCAACTTGAAGTAAGGTGTTGGAGAGGAAGGAGCTCTAATTAAAGATTCAAATCTTTTTTGTTACGAGTTGGATTTGGCTGCTGCAGGAACCTAAAGATTTCTGACTCCTCAACAAAAGTTTGCTTTAGTTCTATTAGTTTAATTTCAGAGCATTCCTCAACCACGTCCCCTCCCTCTACACGCCCTCGACCATATGCATCTAAATCAAGTTATGGTAATTTTTGAGGATTTAGAAAAATTTCACATGAATCATTGTTATATAATTATTCAGTTAGTTAGCAGGTTCAGCTGCTAATTATCTGGATGTCAAAGATGGTTCTGACCAGTAGAATAAACTTATTCAGAAGTCAAACCTCCTCACACCAGATCTGATATATCCTTTGTTGGTTAAACCTCAATCAATTTAAGCAATCTTCAAGGGTTCCCTGCTACAATCTCAGGTCCTCGAAACATCAAAAAAGATCCTACGCACAGTTTTTATGTGCCTCTTTGCTTCTTTTCAACTCAAGTTTTCTGAACAGTGATCACGGAGACCAGTTTTTGTCTGTGTGGTTTTATTAGGTACCAGATTGCTCTGTTGGAAGTCTAAGAAGCAGCTTGCCATTTTTTTTATCTTCAGCAGAGGCTATATATAATTCGATTAGAGAACTGGTGGTACAATTGTCTTAGGTATTTAGACAGCTAGATGAACTGATTGTCACATCCATTACTCTTGTCCCTTGGACTGTGACAATCAAGTATCCATTTACCTTACTGGATCCAGTTTCTTTTAAAAGCACAAAACACATTGAGTGTGATTGTCATAGCAGGGAGGAATTGATTGAGACCATATGTCAATTCGTTTTACACTTATCTGTCTCAATAGGCAGATCATTTTACTAAGTCACTACCATTCCCTACCTATAATGATCTCCTAATAGGGCTCCAACTTGAACAAGGGTGTTGGCAAGAAGGCTTATATGCAAGAGGAGCTCACTCAAGCAAAGAAGACTTTGTCTTTACATCATTAACTCAAGAGATTGTAGGTGATTAAGTAGCTAAAGTTCTTTTCATTAATCAGTCCGTTCCAGTTGGTATAACATTTGATTAAATACTTTGGACCACATTAATTTAGATATGGTACATTGCAAGTAGCAGCATCTTGTATATAACTGGAGAAGTGTGTGTTACACATAGAATAAAATTGTTGAAACTTCCTTCAAGTTCTTTCTGCATTCTCTCTAAAAGCTTTGACTTGTGTATGGTGTTCAATGAATTTTGTCAAAAACACATCTTTCTCAATGACCAATCACTCCCATTCAAGTTTTTTTCACTTTTTATGGGACAAGTTCATCTTCATTCCCTCCATATGGGAAGTGTGAAGCAATTTCATTAACCAACGAATTCCCTAAAATCGGATGACACAATGCAAACTAGAATAGGCTAATTGATCCAGGTAGTGAGTGACAAGCTCCAATCAAAAAACACAACGTGTACACTAGAAAGTGTATAGGCAAGCCTCTTCTTACTTATTAAATGAAGAATAATTACTCTCTTGCATATCAAAACTTCTTCTCAAGCCAAAGAATGAAAAACAACATTAAATGGTAATAAATGAATACCCCAAAACTCCAACAAGAATTAGCAAGCAAGTTAATAAAAGTGAGGACAAAACCATCAACATACCGAACCATGCTGTAGCAACTGATGCTATTGACGTCGAGATTGTGAACACCACCTTATGCCTCTCAAATATATCCTATTCCCCAATAAAATCACACCAAAACAAAAGAAAGAATTTACATTTTCACTATTACATATGTTCATTCTCACACAAAAATAAAAAAATTTAATCTAAAACCCATAAAAACAATCAAATATCCATCAAAGAATCACAAAAAAAAAAAGTTCAAAAAGAAGAAAAGACAGTACCTTTGTTGAATAAAAAGTGTCCTGAATAGCAGACCATGAATTAGAAGCTTTTCTTTTCAACTGAGGCACTGTTAGACGATTAACAATTGATGAATCAGAGATTCTAAACCGCTTCAAACCTCTGTAAATGTACATGGCTGCCAGCAAATTCGCAAAAAAAAAATACTATGAATTATCAAAATTTAGGAGAAATAGGGCTTTGTTTCTTCGTAAATTAACTTTGGCAAGAGAAAATTAAGCTAATATACCTCAAACAGATTTCAGTTCAGAGTGATTAACTTGCGGAATGGGCAAAGTCTACTTGAAATTGAATAGAATTTGTCACTTTATTATAGGGTTAACTGTTAAGCTATAAATGTTGAGGTTAAAATAATTCTTTTAGTTTTCAAAGTGAATAAGAATTTGATTTTAAGTTAAAAATAATAAAAATAAATTAATAATTACTTCTTCTGTCCATTTTTATTTATTTACGCTTTTCAAAAGTCAATTTGATTAATAATTAAAGTTAAATTAAATTATATTAATTCGATATTTTAAACAAAAAATTTAGATATTCAAAAATCATATGAAAACTACTATAAATTGTAATTTTTTGCATATCAATTTGATAAAAAAATACATCTTAAAATGTTAGTCAAAGTTCATATAGTTTGACTCTAATAATAGAAATCATGACAAACAATAGGGAATGGATATGAATTAAAATT